AAAAAGGGTAAGGCAAGGAGGGCATTTTTCTTCTATTTGGGTCCAAAGCTTCCTATATCTACTAAATTTATTGGGCTAGTTAACTGGAAGAAACTGAATATCCTTCAAAACGTTCATAGCGTTGCTTTAGCCTACACAACTGAATGGAACCATAGATCCAAATATACAGCTTGCTGAAAAAAATACAATGTCCACCACATGTCCACTGGGACACATGTTGGGCTTTTGCAGTGCCTGGCCATCTAGCAACAGGCACGGGAAAACCAGTGAATCAATCTCCTTCCTCAGACGGAGAGCTCCTAACTCGATGGAGCTGTTTTTGTGAACAGCTGTGGCAGAACTTTTTGAAGCACTTTGCTTGAATAGAAGGTCTCATACGAAGATAATTGGAATGGCATATCCCTGAAGGATGAACTCACTCTCCCTTCTCTAATCCTATATGGAGCAAAATGAGTAGAAATTGCATTTTCAATCAGTTCCTTAGCTTAGTTACATGCGTGACACTTTCTGCTGCCAGTACTACAAAGCAGTGCAAAACATAGTGCTTGGCTTACACATCAATTCTTTGGCATGTGGAGTTATCCCATTTTCTAGTCAGGCAGAATGATCTGCATTCTGTTTGCTCTGAGGACTTAGAAAATATAAAATAGCTTCCATTTCAACTTGAGGGCCAATTCACTTGTCCATCTCTTTCAGATTGCTGACCATTGTCATTTTATAGCTTGTTTTTGTGAAAATTACTTCTTACTGTAATCATTCCACTCCAACTGCTTGCAGGTTTAATCTCGAACCTGATAAATTATAAAATAAACTGGCATAAGAAATCCACCCCTCAAAATATGTTCTTACTGTTATGATTTAACCAAAAATATCTTAAATTGATAACTGTGGAGAGATCAGCCTTGAATTATAACTCAAGGATGTTCTCTCCATAGTTATCAACCTAAAATTATATTGGTATTATATGAGACCACTGTTATCTTCAATTTTCACTTAGTGTTCACATTACCAATCTGAAGATTAAGTTAAAAATCAAAGTTTTAAATGAAATGTCATTTTGTTGAACCTGAATGTTACATCAATGAGAATTTCTTAAAATACTACACCTATGCAAATCCAAAAATAAAATATATCTATTTTTTTGTCACTTGTTCTATAGAATGAATCTCTCAAATATAATGGTAGTGATAAAATCCCTGGGAGTGGGCTTTCATCTGCCAGTGGATGGAGTGCACACACTCTCACCAGTAAGTTACATTTTGTTCGTAGTCTGTTAAAATTAATTGTTCCTTTAAACAGTAATTTTTCTTTTGTTTGGCATCCTGGCCCTAAGAATTGCACTGATTCTGTAATGCGCAAGGACATCAATAATAACAATAACATAACTATCAGCTCTTCAAGGGTGGCAAAATCAAGAAACGAGCAGGGATTCCTAGAATGCTCTTTATTGTTGTAGGGCAGAATAACAGAATCTTGAAAGCCTGTTAGAGTATCTGTCTACTCCATCTTATACCAAGCAAAATCAAAGCAGAGTTATTCTGAGTTTCTTTCTCATGCTTTCCACTTTCTCAGGACTAAGTAGACTTTTCTTGTCCCATAACAATTCGTTGCTCCCTTCCTTCTTCCCAAAGCCTGATCTACATTCTTTCAAAACTATAATGTTCATGATAAACAATAAAAATTTAAAAGTACATTAAGATGTAGCAAAATACCCCCCCCCCAAAGCAAAACACAGCAGTACCTCATTACTCCCCAGGTACCATCTGGAAGAGCTCTTAAGGGGGAGGCTATTCCACAGAAAAGGTTCCTCACTGAAAAACAACTTTGGGCCTCAGCCTCCCTCACTTCATTAAAGTAGGGAACCACAAACCGTATTTCTAGATGAAAATAAACTTTGAATTGCACAGGTATATTAGGCACATGCTGGGAGTGCCAGACAAAAAAAGGGCTGCTGCATTTTATACCAGTTGCAGTTTCCATGTGGTCTTCAAAGCGGCCTCATGTACAGTGCATTGTAGTAACTAGTTGAGTAGTGTTGAGGACGTAAATCATTACTGCAGGGTCCTTCTGCTCAAGAAAGTGTTACAATTGGCACACCCAAAGGTCCCCCTGGCCACAGCCTCCACCTGCCTGTTCAGCAGGAGCCATTTATTCAAGAAGATTACCAAGTTATGGCCATCCTTCAAGATAATACCTCCTTCTCAAGAAACAAAACAGAGCTTAGTAGAAAACCATGATGATCAAACAACAACTCCATCTTACTGAGGTTCAACTTCAGTCTATCTTGTCCCATCCCCAACATCCTCAAAACACTGAAACAACTTTTGACAGCTTTGGTAAACAAGTGGCCCTTGTCCAACTGTGGTAGAAATGTAAATAGCCAACAGTGTGATACTTTCATTTCCTCACAATATATTTCTTCCCTCAGTGGCCATGCCATCTGGTGACAAATATGTAAATTATTATGAAAAAGTATGGTCTGAATTTGCCCTCCCTGCCTCTCTTCCTTCCTTTTTAAACCATGCCTGTTACATGAAGGGTAAGCAGACTTCAGACATGTGTCTTTACTTTGCTTTTTTAATGCAAGTTGTGCCAACTGAAGCTGAACATAGTAATTTGTTCTGTGTACCAAAAGTGAGCTGTGTTTTTTTGACACAAAGCTTTCCCAATATAATTTGAAAGAGTGTCAATTTTTGTCCTATCGTTAAATTATTAAAGTTAGATATCACTTTGATTTACTGCCTATCACCCAGGAATCTATTATTTGATTCTCATTTGCCTGTATTACATTATACAGATTTTTTTCACAGTATCTAGGAAACTTTGAGTGAGATAAAAATAATATAATATAAAGTTGGATTCCAGCCACATTATAATGAGTTTGACAGAAATGCATCACTCATTGCATACAGCATTACCAGATTAAACCACTAATAGTTTTTTATCTCCTCACTTGTAAATAGCTGTAGGATTGGGGTGCCTAAAAGACATTTGATTTCTGAAATATTTTCTCTATCCCTCCCTCTTTTTATTTCTTTTCCTCCCTTTCTCGTTTGTTTTAAGAAGATCAGTTTGGGAGCTGTTTTAATCTCAGACATTCTTGTATATACTCAACACAAAAGTTGAGATTTTCTTCTCAGATTTCCATACAAATCATTCATTTGCTTACCATTCTTTTATTCAAACAGAAACTAAAATAAGCAAAGAAAGTTGATGTGAGGTATCTTGATTTAAACTGCAGGCAGAAATACAGAATTTGTGGAATGAGAATCTTGCCATTCTAAACACTGCAAAACAGTATGGGTATGAAGTAGTCGATACTTTCATTATTACAATGGGACGGTACAAGGAATTTTTGCAAGGGAAATGTGGATGTCATTTTCATGAGGTAAGTATTTGGGGTTAATGCTCCAGCACGGGTATTTATAGGCTTTTAATTTTGTTCAACTTTAATGAAAATGTTTGAAATATAGCTGTATTTTGGCAATCCACTATGAGCATTTTACAGTGAGATCAGTTAGGGATACATGCTATTGAACATGGTGCAGCTTGATTCTTAGTAAACATGCCCAGCAATGTAACATGAACAGGGAAAGAAGAAAAAGAACATATGCTGTGTTCGTGTGAACAGAGAAGATGCACTGAAAGGTAAAACGTCAAAAAGAGTATTATTGAATAAATATTAAGAGAATTGCTGAGAAAAATACCAATCCATGTCCCTTCAGCTTACCAGGAACCCCAAAGAAATGGCAGCTGATGGACCCTGAACCTGGAAGGTAACTGTGTGGCACTTTTCCAGGTCTTTGGTTATGTACTGAGGTTCAGTATCCAAGGACTTTTGCCACCATTTTTACTTCTCTGTAGAGACAGGGAGTATAAACAACAAAAACACCTGGAGATGGCTTGGTAGCCCATCTTATCAGGGACTTGGTCATAATTCAGACAGTTGACACAGCCAGAAATATTTTTGAAAAAGAGGGGGTCCCTAGCAGGTAACACTTGGGGATGGTCTGATGACATATTTGGGGAAGACTGTGGACAGCATGCAGCTGCCCCCCTCCCACCAGGAGGTAGATGAAGAAGCTCATGGCATCCTCTTTATCTTAATGTTACAAGTAGGAATACAGAGAAAAGGGTTAAAGGCCAGAATGATTTGGAATTCAATGCTGCAAATTCTAGAGCTGGCTAAGTAAAAATAATTACACACAAATTGCCTCAGTTGGCTATGCAGATACATCTTATATGTGTAAAGGGGAAAAGCTCCTTGCCAGTCTTGCACCCTGCATTTGCAATCTATGCACACTTCTGCTCAGAACTCTAAATGCGAGCCATGAGAAAATGAGTGGTTTCCCAGGAATATTATTGAAATGGCTTTAAAGAAATCAACTACACTCATCCGGAAAAAGCAGATGCGTGCCCATCCATTGTCATTCTTTCCATCCATTGCCAAAAGTAAACAAGCCACAAAGTTTATCCACAGAGTTAGTCCTGAAAAAGCATTTTTCCCCCCAAGCACAGTGATATTTCATGCTTCAGTATTCTATCATACAACCATGGCAGGGTTGGCAACCATACCATTATTTGGGCTGATATTGATTTTGGTGTTTGTGTGCACACTTACATTGTTGGAGAGACAGAAGCTGCAAAGAAGAAAAGGATAGGAACTAAATTCACCACTTTTCAAGATTGCATTGTAAGACCTTTAAATGATTGCAGAATAAAATGACAGTAGTTTTTAGTAACTGAATTGTTATGCATATACAGCTTGAACTGAGGATTTGTTGCATGAACTTGAAGCCTTGGTGTGAATGTCTTGCAAACCATTGCTTCTATCTGTTTCAGGTGGCAAAATCAAAAGTATCTGAAAGAAGTTTTCCTACAGCAACAACATTCTCAAGACCCTACGCTCTGGGCAAATATTTCAACAACCAAAGCAACCTTGTGAAACTACAAGCTTATGCATCCAATTCTCAATCTCCTTATCATGTGAGAGGCCCAATAAATCAAGTTTATTCTGAAATACTTCTCAGCAGGATCTGCAGGAATAACAGAAAGGATGCTGGCATGTAATTTTGAATGGTGGAGACGTAGAGTACTAAGACTTCCCACTTTCCCATGGGGCGATCCAGAGACCCTCTCAGATTTAGTGCACACTTCTCTGAATGGCTGAACACATTAGCATAATTCAAGACATGTGGACATTTCGTCAAAACCTTATAAAATCAAGATGCGTCTTCATAGGTCTGTGGTTTCAGAGGGAGAAACAGAGAAGTACAAGGGGCAAAAGCAAGAAAGAGGAGTTACTTGAAATAGTGCCCAACATTAAATCAGTTGTAAGCTACGTTTATGCAATATTGTATGATAGGATGTACTGTATTTTATTCACTATGTTTGTAGAAACTCCTGAAGTATAGGTACAGATTTTATGGATATATCTTGTAAAATGTAAAAATCTCATTCCATGTTTAAAAGTTTTATGATTATAGGTGAAAAAAGCAATAGAGGAAAATGCACTTCTAGCATTTGTATTGAGGAAATGATGGCATCAGCTCTCCTTGCGCTTGTTCTAGGAGTCCAAAAAAAAAAAAAAGTCCAACAGGGAGATTTCCTGACAAGTTTTTGTCCAAACTGATTGATTGATTATGTGCCATCAAGTCAATGTTGAGTTCTAGCAACCACATAGACAGATTTTTCTCCATGACAGTCTGTCCCTTACCTGGTCTTTCAGTTCTTCCAACAGTGGATTCATTGCCACTATAATTAAATCATCCATCTTGCTGCTGGTTGTCCTCTTCTTCTCTTTTCTTCCATCGTTCCCAGCATTACAGCCTTCTTTAGAAAGCTAGGCCTTCATATAATCTGTCCAAAGTAGGATAATTTGAGCCTGGTCATTTATGCCTCTAGTGAAAACTCTAGGTTGATCTTGTCCAAATTAACCTGATTTATATTCAGAATGCCAGGTAACTTCCACTTGTTGTTCCATTGCACTAAGATTAAACATGTACAGTGTGGCTGCATGAAGATGTTTTGCTCCTTCTTCCTTCTTTTTCCTCTGTTGTGAGGTGATCCAAGTTTCAGAGTGCTTGATTGTCTTCCAACAGAAGCAAGAATTTAAAAAGGATTGCCTGTATAAATATCTTTATATCTTATATCTACATTTTGCATCTTTACTGCTCCTACATTTTTCTTCCTCCTCCTCCAGTAGTGGAACTGACTTGAGAACTCCTAAACAAAACTATTGTACTGTTTAGCAAAGGGCATTTAAGAATGGGGAAAGAAACCTTCAACTCTTTCAATGGCAACTTGGATCAAGCTAATATGAGAAAGACTGGTTTCCTAAAAACCATGCAATGAGGTTGTAGCTGCATGATTTGAACTGGTAGTGATTATTTTTTACTCACATTTGTAGTGATATGATGTATATGCACTGGGTTTCCTTTCACTCTGCCAGAAATCATGCCCAAAAGTCTGAGGGAAGTCACAGAAAATCCAAATACCATTTGCTCAGCTCATTGGGATTCTGTGTCTGGTAGCCCAGTTCACCTTGTTGGGTGCATATTGCCAATAGAACCATAACAAAAAACCAAACTCATTTTCCTGCAGTGGCCTTGCCAGGATTATCTGCAGGGTATGGTAAAGATGGTAAAGATGGTGGCCGGGGCAGTAGGACGCACATAAAAAAAAAATGGGAAGAGCTTTGATCTCATCATCATGGCTGCCATCTTGAATTTTCTGATCGTGCCCTGCAGACCTTGCTGGCCCCTGCCTTTGCACATGTACTTTTCCTTTGCTCATTTCTTTGATGTTAGAGTGCAGTGTCCTCAAAATTTATCTCTGAATAAAAAAGTTTTTAGTAACCTTACAGAAATGATTATGCAAGTATCTCAAAAAAAAAAAAATGCATACGAAGTCTAAACTTGAAGTAACCTGTGATAGTGCTGAAGGTAAATCTGAAATAAAGGTAGACTTGCCTTACTGAAGAGTCTTAAAAATAATTATACTTACTTATAACTTGAATATTCCTATGGATACAAATTCTGATTTTTAAAAATACATTGCGAGGTGATCCAGGTTTCAGAGTGCTTGATTGCTTTCCAACAGAAGCAAAAATTTAAAGAGGATTGCCTGTATAAATATCTTTATACTGAAAGTAATGTTAAAGTTGGACTCATATGGAAAGTCTTTTTTTGAAAAACTAGAATGAATTCTAGTTGTGTTATATAGTTCATGCTGGCAAATGTGCAATGCGGTTTCTGCATATTCACCATTATATGGTTATCCTATGCTGTCCTTCACTGGGTTTAATATTTCTCAGATGTTGCTCTTTTGAAAGCAACATTTCAGTCCTATATTTTTATATGCATATTTTTATGTAAACTTATCACTGTAACATGCACATCACTCTAATATGAATATGGACCATAGATGTTTATCAGTGGTATCTAATTTGTAATTAGGCAATAGTAAATATATATAAAATAAATATTGATATACTATATGACGCATTTCCTTGATATGGGTATCTTTTTAATTGGCATGTGAAAACAGATCACTGAAAGTATCACTTTCTGATGTATATTCAGTTGTCTGTTTTCTTTAGTATGCAAAGCATCTTTACAAAGAGATACACCCTAAACATCCTGGGAAACCACGATGACCAAGCTGATTTTATTGGATCTCTTTGTGGATAAATAGTATTCCCAAATGCCCAGCAATTTCTTGATATTTATATTCATGCATCAGGATATTTTCAAATGGCATCAAAGCCTTTACTCACTCTCATTCACTGATGATGAACGTAAAACATTTGTAAGGGGCAAGTCAAGATAAGAGACATATACCAGTATTTAGACTAATAATAGTCTAATAGTCATTCCCAACCATATTGCACTGCCATTCATCAGATTCTTTGTCTACGGTTCCAGACTTATTCAGACTTATTCAGCCTCTTGTACCACAACTCCCCACTCCCCCTGGGTATCATAATGTGCTACTGAAAACATTAGAATATCATCTAAAATAAATTTGACAAATTTTAGCAAATAGACAAGCAGTTGTACAAAAATCTCTCTGACAATTGTTCTTGATTTGATGGTTCATCTTAACATTTGATACAGACATTTATTCAAAAACCAAATATTCTGTAATTGAGGATTAGATCTAAAGAGTATTGATGTATAAACAGTACAATTCTCTAACAGCAATTTCTTGTTCTCATATAAAAATGTATCTCCCTTATTGAGTCAGGTACTCTAAGTTCCACTTTCACCTTGGTAGGTAGTGAGCCTCTAATATTTTGTGCTTTATTAAATATGATTAATTCTGGTGAGTAGATCTATTTTGATCTCTTGCTGCTTTGTCATCATTGTTTTAAATGTGTAGACCAGTGTTTCTCAAACTTGGCAACTTTAAGGTGTGTGGACCTGGGGAATTCTGGGAGTTGAAGTCCACACATCTTAAAGTTGCCAAGTTTGAGAAACACTGGTCTACACATTTAAAACAATGATGACAAAGCAGCAAGAGATCAAAATAGATCTACTCACCAGAATTAATCATATTTAATAAAGCACAAAATATTAGAGG